TTTATATAATTTTGTAGAGAATTGAATGGCGCGTCTTTTAGATAAAGGTTGAAGCCTGGGCAATGAAAATTGAGGGAGATATTCACGAAATACTGACACCGCCATTCTTTATGGACCACCCGTTACTAATATACTTGCTTTCGACAGAAATTATTTCTTGAAGAAAACTACAAATGTATTTTGTTTAATTTTGTATGATTGTAACAAAATTTTGTTGTCATACTTATTCACTAAACTTTCTAGTGAATAGCTGTTAGAAAACTATGAGGTCATTTCCAACAAAACTTCCTCTCGATATTAAAGCAGAACATGACGCTAGCACGTTTTTATGCGATATCTTGTCTCGCCCATGTAAACATGAAACGCAAAATCGATGCGTTGCAACGCGATTTGACAATAAAACGCGTTGAGACGGAGCTAAAAATGTTTTCACGATGCATGTAAACATGGGTTGATATCAAACGCATTGACACGCAGTAAACAATATTTTGAAACGCGTTTGGAGGCAGTTTTTCTGTATAACACGTTTAAACACAATTAGAAAAAAAATGAAACGCGTCTCAACGCGTGTCCAAATAACATTTAATGTGTTTGAATGCATTTTATCTAATAACTGCATTCAAACGCGTTTCAGATATTCTTCCAGTCGCGTTGCGATGCTATTATAATTCTGAACGCGTGCAAACGCATTCATTTCTCGCATTTCCGACGCGACTTTACTCCAAAAACTTTTTTTTCTAGAAGGGTGAGCCCCGTGATGGAAATCATCGTCTTACATCTGTTTTATTTATCTAAACTTCATTGGAATTTTTAATAAAGAATGTTCAGATGACATTAAAATAGACAAAAATTTAATTAAACATAAGGCATATAATCCACATTTCTCTAAAGTTTGTATGAATAATAGTGAGACAATATCGCAATAGTTTTCAGCTATCCCATGACCTTTTAGCAAACTGATAAATACTACTGTTTAAATTATATGATTAACAACTTCCTACCATACTTCTAAATAAACTTTATGAATAAATATTTATTTATTAAATCCTTCGATAAAATTATAGATCGTCTTAGTACTGTAATTAAAAAGCTTTCATAACATTAATCACATTTAGTACGATAAAAGTAGATATCATTTCAATTAAAAAAAAATTATTTAAAAAAAGAAGTGAAAAATCACGTTATATGTTAAATATATTACTTCGAAAAAAGTACATGCTATTGAAATAAAGTATTTAAGCGATGAAATTTTCATTCAAATGTATCTTATTTTGAACGAGAAATGCTTTGGAGCCAATACAACACAATGGTGTATGTGAACGGCTTCTGATCACTGGTTCATCTGTTCAAATCTAATCGTCACCGCTTAATGTAAAATTCAATCCGTATGTTAGGTTAGGCTAAGATCATCGATAAATGTTGACGATGTGGACTCAGCTCGAATCTGAGATGAATGCCGATATCTTTTTCAAATTTTTATTTTTTATATGAAACGCGTTCCGACGCTTCGAATGTTTCACAGGAGACGCGTTTTCGTTAAAAACTCGTTTAAACGCAAGCCAAACTACGAACGCATTCAGACGCATTTCTAAAATAAATCGCGTCTAAACGCTTCGTTTGTTTCACTGAGGACGCCTTCAAACGCGTTCGCTCTTAGCGTTCCGCTCGCAAATGAAACGCGTTTCAGACTCGTTTCGAGGCAAAAAATATTTTCATGGGTGTTCTCTGCAAATACAGAATATCTGAACAGCTCACAATTAGAAAGTTTAGTGAATGATCATGACAACGAAAGTTTGCTACAATCGTACAAAAGTAAACAAAATACAATTATATTTTTCTTGAAGAAGTTATTGCTGTCGAAAGCAATTGTATTACTAGTTATATTTATTACTCCTGAGTACGAGTTTATATATGAATAAGATTTAGGTTCCGTATATGGAAGATCTATGTTAGATACGATACGAAGTATAAATTCACTTTTGGGACACCCTGCTATACATAAAAACGGTTTAACTTCTATACATTATTTTTTGTCAACGCTGAATCATTTTATCTTAATTAGATTAACCATTTTAATGCCTAACCAAAAAGCATTACACAGGATTATTTTTGACTGTTTTTTACCATTTTAATGATGTAAATTTTCGCTCATTTTAATGCCATTTTTTCGTTACAAATTTTCGCTGAGAACTGACAAACGAAAACAAAGTGAGACTAATAGGATGAAATACACAAACTATTTGTAAGAAATCTATAACACAATCGTAAGTTCTTTCAAAGCAACCAATGGCTATTCAACCTTCTCAGATACAAGAAATCCATTAAAACCAAAACCTTACAAAGCGGAAATGTCATGTCTGAGTATTTCTATTGACTTTCTATCCCTCAATTCTGCAAACTTCTTCCATTTTCGACACCCTTCGAAAACCAACGTCCTCATCCAATACATATATATTCACTCTATAATTATATAAACCAACTTCTCACCCAAGCCAACTTAAACAAGACACTCACAAACACTTTCTTAATAACATCACTTCCATCCCGTAAAAAAACAGGAACACTCAAAAACTTCAATCATTCCAACAAAAACCATATAATTGCATCTCATTCCGTTGACATCTCACTTTTCTTTCCACGAAAAGACTCTCAAAACCAAAAACCTAATCAACGAAAAAACCACACAATTTCTTACATTATACATTTTAAAAGCTCACCATACACAGTGCCTTTCATTCACCACTCAAAACACCAATTCTACCGCAACTTTCGCAAACAGAATTCTTATAGACCAAATCTCGCCCTGTTCAACCCACCCCATCATATGATTCGAGAGATTAATTTCTAACATTTCAAATTACAAAATCCCAACCAATCCCCCACATCAATCATTCAGAAAACATTGCACGTCTTTCATATTCTAGCGAAAAATAAAAATGAAATAAAAAATCCAAACAATACAAAACAAACCGAAGACAAATATGATCGTGGTCTTATTGATGATGATGATGATTTTGATGATGATCGTCTTCTTGATGATCTTATTGATGGTATTGATGATGGTATTCTTGGTTATGATCGTGATGGGAACTATATGAAAAATTGAATGGTAGTGACAGAGTTGATTAAAATTTGAAATAAAGTACGACAGAGAAGATGTATTTTAAAAAGTGAACTTTTTGAAATGATTAAATTTTTTTCATTGTTTTTTACTGTAAGGTGGGATTGAGGTTGAGGTGAAAGAGAAATGGGAAGTTTTTAATATAAATCATTTGATTGGACTATCGAAAAATTAATGTAGTAGCGATAAGGTGGAATAAATCGGGTTTGAGTCTGTTTGGGAATTTTAATTTTACTTGCTTGCTATTAGCAGTTTTTGGTTTTCAATGAGCGATGCCAGTTGTATCAGAACTTGGTCAGTTGTTGTTTAAAACGAGTTTTTGTTTTTTGAGAAAAGTGAGCTAGTCGAACGGAATGTAAATGAGACGGTTGAAATACGAATGGATTACTTCGATTGATTTGTGATATGTTTATAAATCGAAATTATATATTGTGGCTAGAGAAGGCAGTGCTTGTAATTTATGGAAGTGTTAACAGACAGACGAATTCAATCGATTAGTTGACAATGTAAGATTGATAGAATCTGTAGTGACATTATTGTCTTCAAATGAAATTTTTAAAATGAATGTGAAAACGAAATAAATTCATTAGGGGATGTGGATGAACCGAGGAATAGTCTGTTGGTGGGTGAACGGTTCTGATTGAATGAATGTAGAGTTGAATTCTGTATCGAATGACCGGTAGATTGAATAGGGAGGGACATATTGTTTTGCGCATACACGGAAAGAAGTTACCGACAGAACGTCTCTTCTATATGCCGTTCGGCATGGATTATGCTTGCTTTTGAAGACAACTTGCGTGGTTCATGGGACACTGAGCGAAATTTTATTTGAACTCAGATCATCTTGAGAGTAACCATTCTATCATGCAGACAAATGAGTGTGAAACATTTCGATGAGAAGCGCTTGCTTGGTATCTAGAATCTGGATTATGGCCGCCTCTTCAGATACGAAGGCTCGCTTTCAAGAAGTGGACTTTGGTGAATTCGTCACATAGATCAATTTTTCGTTTTTTTTCACGGTTTGAAAAGGGCTTTGACGTATTTGAGGCAAGAAAAAATGCTGTACAATTAGAGAATGAGAGTTGACTAAAATGACGAAAATGGTTGGTAACGCTTGTATTTACTTTTCATGTTGTATGATGCAGCGGACTCTTCTTTTATCCATATTAAAGTGATATGTGATGGAAAGGTGGAATATCTCTGTTAAGGTTATTCTAGAAGAGAGCGACTTCAATACTCAGCATCAGCAGTAACAGTTTGGTGAGAATCAAGTGTTGTTAAATTGGAGTGAACTAAAGTGAATAACACTTACTTCTCTGTGATACACTAGTTCTTCAAGTTACCATTGTTTAGCTTGGTTTCTTGGGTTCGATGAATATAATGAGGCACATCATATCTTAAAATCTTTAGTTTCCTCGTAAAAGTTACTTTTTGATGCGAGGATTGTCAATGTGTTTCACAGATAATTGCATTATAAATATGACGCCATCAATATTCTATACTGTCTTAAGGCCTCTGAAATTCAGTACTCGTGATTTACAAATTGTCAGCTTTGGTAACTGGCGAACTTTCACTGTAAAATTTATGTTTCTTTTTCTTGAGGATGTGAGGGTGTGGTTCTGGGTGTAGAGCAGAAGAAGACCAACAATCACACCTGCCACCCTAACAATATTTTTATTGCAATAGATAGTTCTGATGATAGTCTACTTATGGGATAGAAAACAGTTTTATCTCTTGCGCCTTAATGATTTTACAGGGCTGTCGGTCTTGAGATATAGACTGATATGAATCTTCTGTGCTCCCGTAGATAGATACAATTCTGAATATTTCAACACGAATTTGGATATAGGTGAGCAGTCTGTAGGACAATTTTCAATTCAATAGATTCAGCTTAGCCCGAGGCTCAAGTCAAATACTAGTAGTATTGTGACAGGACAGTTTCAGGAGTAGACACATAATAATTCATATCTCAATGTAAGTATGACAGTTTGCAATGAAAATTCTACTGAAATGGGAGAATGAGCGGGACGTTCCAATGTTTGGTTGAATGTAATAGTATCTCCTCCATAACTACAGAGAGCATGATAGGAAAACATCGTTCATGTTGATTTTATATATCAGTCCATATGAGAGGATAGGGCTGAAGCTTTTGTCTGAGGTCACGGTTCTTCATATTCTTCTTACGGCAGAAGCTTCAAGATAAACAATCCTTATTTCAATGGCTTTCGCCTGGTAGCGGAACGTTTGTCCACAACTGTAAAAATTAAAACTAAACGAAGAACATAATTTATTTCTTTTCTCATATTTCTAAAACAATTTATTGAGGATTTTCTATTTAATTATTTATATACTTATCTATTATTTAATGTAATACTTACATGGATAATTCGATTTTTACTTAAATCTTATTCTCATTAGTGTCGTCTCAGAGTAGTATTAATGAGGCACATCATCCGAGGAATGCTCTAACTAGAAGTTTATGTCATGAAGAAACAGCTTTAGAAGTATTCTCATGCTTTCAAGGCGGTGAAAATCGTACCCATTGACTCAAATTACAATTAAGTATTGAAACGTTGCAATTAAATTTAGAGGCATTGAAAATAATAAAGAAAGCGCTAGGAGATCATAAATATTTCGTTCAGACATATTTACTTTTATCATAAATGAACGAAAATGAAAATGTCAAGACTACTGCTTTGCATTACATGAAAAAAGGTCTTGAGATTACTCGAACTTTAACGTTTCTGAACAATAAGTTAACATTCGAAAATTTTCAGAGGCATTGGAATGCGTTGAACAATAATCAATATAATAATGGTGTGAGATTTCAAGTAAATAGATGTTAATCACTCTGATTTGCTAGATCATCTGTTATTGAGTTATCATGAAGAAGTTAAACAACTTGTACCAGATGATACTGTAAAACGTATTGAATTGCTCATTAACATCAGACCATTGTATTCGAACAAAGAAAATTTTCATATAGTCATGAAATGTTTTGATGAGACCGTTCAACCATAGATAGAACCGGTCTACTATTTTTTCAGGCCGGTACCGGTACCGGCCCAGACTGGCACTAAACAGAAGAGCGATTGTCGATCAGTTGATCAGGAAAGTCTGACTTCTCCAGAAAATATTGGTGTACCAACAACACATCGAGACATAAGCTAACATCGTCCAATACTCTATTCTCTCTCGCAGATCACTTGGGTGCCAGTACCTATACCAGTATGGTGTTTCTCCGTTGCCAATAATCACTTCATCAAGAAGATTCTAGAAATCTATTGTTAAACTAATCACTATGCGATCCGCTTGATGAAGGTTGATGGTAGCCATTTTTCTGCATGAACAGAATCCGAGAGAGATTTGTAAACTATAGATCAATTTGACCGATCACACTGGTTTACACCGACCTGGACCGACATTACCGGTCTGGTCCGGTTCACCAGTCGATCCGAATTCTAGACCGGTACCAGTTCCATCTATGCGTTCTACTGTTCATTCAAAATAAATTTTCGATAGATTTTTCCTGTAAAAACTGGAATGCTTAGTGATACAAGCCTATTTTGGTGTAAGTCGAGGGCACGATCGACAAAAAAATTGAACTATGTTACTGAATCGTTTGGAAAGAACGCTTTAGTTTGCTTTAAAATAAAAGCAAGAACATTCAATGTTAACTGAAATTTATTACCATATCATGGGTTTAGCTTACTCACATAAACTAGACTTCTTTGTGGCAATCCATTATTTGGGTGGGTATGGGTGTAGCGTTCGCCTTACTCATACCCACTGTCACTCCCAACCACAGTTATCAATATTATTGATCCACCAATCGTCAATGATTGAAAAGCTTGAATTGAAAGATTGCAAGCTATGTCTAGTTGCATGACACTCCCTCTCGAAAATGAACAGTTATATTACAATGTAAAATAGATAATAGTAATATATGACAGAAAAAGACCAAAGTTTGTTCTTTTTCGGTATATCATCTCCATTCTGCAATAACATTTTCTTTCGATGATCATTTAACAAACAGTCCATACAATCGTTCGCATTTTCAATACATGGTTTGCACACTTCAACAGTTTGTTTGTGTTTTCTAGGTGACAGATCACTTCGTCGCACGACACTTCGTCGCAGAATTTTTTTCTTTCTGTTCGTCGCAGATAAATTTCTTTCGTTCTGTTTGTTGCAGAAAAAATTCTTTCCCCTTGCTCATCACTATGCATTCGTTGCAAATATCTCTTAATTATTTTTTTTTAATGAAATATGTAAAATTGATAAGTTCGCTCATATTTATTTTGCACAGAATACAAAAAATAATGATGAACAAATTCAAAACAAAAAAAAACAAAGAAAAACCAAAAAAGAAAGAAAAACCAAAATGAAAATAATCTAAAGAAAAAAAATCAAAAGAAAGAAAGTAATTTAAAGAAAAAAAATACCTAAAGAGTAACATTAGCTGCCATATTTTTTAAGAATTCATCCAGGTGGAATGCGTCGAATCCGTTGACCAGTCGATTAATACGTTAGTCCAATTTTTGGTAGCAGGCCTTTTTTGTCTTAATATTGTGACCTTGAAGAATCTTCGCCATGTCCACTTCAAATTTTGATTGTTCACGACAAATTTTCTTCGACAATTTCACAATATTTGGATGATTTAATGCAACACGGTTAGCAAATGCATTGTGCCAGCCTTCTACCGAATTATTGGATCGAGGTATCGTAGCGACGACACGATCATAAACGTTCCATAATTTATGATCGAATTGAGGATTCTTTCGACCAGCTCCTTAAAAAGTTCGGTATATTAGAAATTTTTCAAGAATTG